GGCCTGGCGGAAGGGATCCAGGGACACAGCATAAACCCATACAGAGGGGTTGTCAATGGGATGCCACTCAGCAGGATGGGTCATAGGATTTCAGAGAGAGAAAGAGAGAGATCACCGTGAAAACAAGAGATGGGGAAGAGGAGGAGCCTAGAATTAAAGCGAGGGGGGGTCCAAAAGGACTAGAAACACCATCTTGTCTAACTCCTCCACTCATTAAGCAAGAAAAAAAGAACTCAGTAAGTATTAATGATTGGGGTCACACTGTCATTAAACTTAATTTGTTGGCTTCCTAAAGGGCACAAAGAGAGAGGAAGATAGAGAAACAGAGACAGAAACAGAGAAACAGCAAGAAATAGAGAGATAGAAGCAGGGAGACAGAGACAGAGAAAGAGAGAGAGAGAGAATCACAAAGAGGCAGAGAGAGGGAGAGAACTGATACATCTGCACTCACTGTCGCACTCACTGAATTAATCAGCTCTCCATTATCTGGGACACCAGGAACCCTGTTTCTGCCTCTACAGAAAGGGCTTTATGAATATGATAATATTGCGTTCCATTTTCAAATAACCTTTTAAAAAAATTCAATCTATTTAAACTAAAACAAACAAACAAAAAACAGTCCCCCCACTTCTCCAACACCCATCTCCCACCTCGGGTAACCACAGATCTGCTCTCTGTTATCTATGAGCTTAGTCTTTCTTTTATTTGTTTTAGATCCTGTATACAAGAGAGATCATATGGTAATGTAATTTGTCTTTCCGTCTGACTTATTTCCCTAAGCATCATGCCCTTGAGGTCCATCCATGTTGTTGCAAGTGGCAAGATTTCATTCTTTTTTTTTTAATGGCTAAATAATATTCCATTTATATATATGACATTTTCTTTATCCATTCATCCACTGACGGACACAGGTGGCATCCATATCTTGGCTATTATAAATAATGCTGCAGTGAACATGGGGTGCAGGCACCTTTTTGAAATAGTGTTTTTGTTTTCTTTGGATAAATACCCAGATATTAAATTGCTGAATCATATGGTCGTTCTTTATATAATTGTTAGAGAAACCGCCATTCTATTTCCCATAGGGGCTGCACCCCTATGGGAAATTACATTCCACCAACAGGACATGAGGGTTCTTTCCCTTTCTCTACATCCTTGCCAACACTTGCTATTTCTAGTCTCTTTCAAATAACCTTTTTATTGGGGTTGATACAGCCAGGAAAGTACAGAAGCCACAAAAATGCAGCCAGATGGATTTTTACAAAGTGAACATATCTATGTAAACCACTTCTTGTATCAAGTGATCAAAATATCACCAACACAGCATAAACCATCCTCACCCCTTCCCAGACACTACACCACCCACATCCCCAAGTGTAATAACTACTATCCTGACTTCTCATAGCATAAATATGTATTACCCATTTTTGAACTTTATGTAGATGAAATCATACAGTGTCTTTTAGACCAGGCTTCTTTCACTCAATGTTATGATTACGAGATTTGTTCATGCCGTGGCCCTAGTGTGTTAATTTTCATCACTGCATTGTGCCCATTGATTGACATATCACAGTTTAATTATGCATTTTACCGTGGATGGATGCTTGAGCCATTTCCAGTGTGAGGTGATTATAAATACTGCTGAAATGAAAATGTTGTACCCATCTTTTAGTGCATATGTGTATACATTTCTGTGGGTTGTGTGTTCCTAGAATGCCTGGATCATGGGATATGCATATACTCAGCTTCAGTAGATACTGCCAAGCAGTTTCCCAAAGTGGTGCTAATTTGCATGAGGACTCCACTTTCTCCACAACCTCTCCATAATGTACATAATGGACTCACTATGTCCAGGGAGTCACAAAATAGATGGTGGAATTTTTGGAATTTTCTTTTTTAGCTAAGAAATAAAAGGAAGAATTTAAGTTTAGAACCATGGAAGAGGTCTCCATTCTGTCCAAATGAAATTGTAAGGAAAAGAGTGTAAATCTACAAAAGTAAGTAAGTAAATATAGAGAGGCTTGGAAAAACAAATACACGTACAATAGTTTGTTTTTTAATTCTTTTAAGTTATTTGACACTCTATGGAACATGCAAAAGACCACAGTAACCTCAAGAACCTATGTCTAAACACTTCCAGTTGATTTCTTGTTTGGTTTCTTTAGTGAGGTTCTTACTAGGTTCTTAGGAAAAGTAGAAGCTGGGTAATAACATCTAGCAGCTAGAATTTTCTGCATCTTGCTATGTTTCACCCAGAAGCCTTTTTAAGGTCTTAAGTTTTTAAGTCTTTTTAAGTTCCCTTGGCAGGTCAAGTCACAAGACATGAAAGTTCTCAAGCAACAGCTTTCTTGTCTTTTGCCTGGAGACAAACTTTCTCAGTGTGATTTAAATTAATCCACATTTCTGCAGCCCTCCCAGATTTATGTAACACCTAAACTTATTTACTTAATCTGGCAGTCAGATTCAGTTGCTTTCGCCTGACCAAAAGCTTTTTCCTCTAGCTAGAAGTGCATGATCCAACTAGTAAACAGGGAATTGGTTGTTTTCTTTCACTGTGAAGAGGACACTGCTTAAAACAAGTTACATTTGAAGAAAAAAAAATAAGCCATTCTGTAAAGTTATAAGGGCTGATTTAAAGAGTGGCATTGTTCATTTGTGAAGGTATTTTGTGTAGGGGGGCATAATTTGTGTCATTTAGTAAAAAGCAAAGTAGCTAGTCTTATTTGGAGCAACCAAAGCATTGCAATCATCTGCCTAAAAATCGTATTTGTAATTCCTTGACAAATAAAACATCAATGAATCAAGTAAAAATCAAACAATTAAAAAGATCTCATGGACTGTAAATGACACATATAATGTAGGTAGTTTTAGCTTGTGTCTCAAGACTTGTGCTCTCAGCCATGACAAGAATAGAAGACCAAAGAAATAATAGTTATCTTTATATTTTGAGCTTTTGAGGGAATTAAAGTTTCTTTTATACACATGTTTATATTTTTCCAATTTTCTATGATGAATATTCATTACTTTACAATCAGGCAACAAGTAAAATTTATTTTTAAAAGAAAATAATTCCCCAAATTACATATAGTTAAAAGATTGTAAGGAAAAACACAGTGTTCATTGCCTTGGATTGGGGAATTTTGAGCAATCTTGTTTCTGTTTTTACCTTTCTCTAATTTCTAGATGTGTGTGTGTGTATGTGTGTGTGCATACAAGTAACTGTGTAACTTTTATCATAGGAAAAGTAGTAAATGGTATTTTTCAAAATCTGCTTGCAGAATATGACTCCCATTTTTAGCCTTTGTAGATGATGGCCAGAATTCTCCAGACACAGTTTAGTGGGTCCAAATGAGCCCACCTGGGTTCTGATTCTGGCTCTGACACTCTTGCTGTGTGGTACTGGATAAGTTACTTATCCTCTCTGAACTTCAAGGTTCTCATCTGTAAAGTGTGAATAACAACACCCATATTATGGGATTGTTATCATGGTTTAACCAGATGATTTATGTAAAATACCATGGTACAAATGCTCTACAAATGGTAGCTGATCACTCAAAGTACGGCATTCTCTTCTTAAGGTTTTCTAGGGATCAAAGTACTTTAGAGGTCTTGTCTACTCAATTCTCCCTATGAAATCTGCAGGATGTAATATGAATATCTCCCCTTTTATTAATTTTAAAACAAACAGATGACAGAATTTTTGAAATAATGTATGACACTTGTGGTCTATTTAGAAAAATAAGCGTTATCTTCTAATCTAAGATACTACGTCTTTGATTTTTTAAAAAAATTTATTATTGGAATATAGTCGACATACAATGAATGCCACATCAATTTGGGGTGCACAACATAGTGATTCTATACATTTAGCTTTGGTTCTTGAGCATATCTCCATCAAGTTCAAATAGGAGGTGTGAAAACATTAGTTTTTCATCATTTTAAATGTTGTATAAATGTACAAATAAAATAAAAGCTATTGATATGATTACTTAAAGCTCACAGGTTTTTCTTTAATCATCAGAATACATTTATTCAAGTACTGGGCAATTGAGTGTGTGTGTTTAATGTGCAAAACTGAGTTAAAACATCTACTCTCCACAAGATATGTTGAAGCCCAAATGCAGTGCTTTACTTCTTTTGTTTGCTGACTCCGTCGAGCAACAAGCAGAAAAAAAGAAAAAGAAGAAGAAGATGTCAGTTTGGATCTACTTACAACTTATGAGCCAATGTAAGTTTAAAAAAATAATCAGTCTCGAAGGTTGCCATTTGGGGTTAAAAACAAACGTTTCAGGGGTAAGATAGTTGGGTTGCGGGATGAAGTGCAACAGAGCACATCTAACTGACTCACACAGCAGCTAAATACGGTCAATTTAGCCTCATTAGGCCACTGTTCTGACTAGTGAGAAAAAAAAATTACTTATATTTTTGTTCCACAAAATCTGTCCTTTAAAGTGAATGGTTGAGACTCTGGTGTAGGGAGGAAAGCTGTACACAAAGAAGAAAGTAAAGATTTTCTGTGTTTCCTGTGCTATCAGTGTATGACTCCTTGACAGTATTTGATTTTTTTTATTCCAGTGAATATATTTATTTATTTTTTTTTAAGAGAGGGAGACGGAGAAGCAGGCTCCCTGCCGAACAAGGAGCCCAATGAGGGACTCGATCCCAGGACCCCAGGATCATGACCTGAGCTGAAGGCAGACACCCAACCCACTGAGCCACCCAGGCGCCCCTCCGGTGAATATATTTAAATAGCAATGAGTACTAGAAGCAAATTATATTACATTCCCCATCACTGACAATCAGAACTTTCTTTTAATTGGCATTTATTTTCAGAATTTTAAAGCTGGAAGAAACTTGACAGACTATCCCACATAGTCCAACATAAATTCTGTGTGTGTGTGTGTGTGTGTGTGGTCAAAATAAAACCATAAATGGTGTGTTTGAAGGTGTGAATGAAGAGGAGAGTAGTGAGGGGCAGATGTGGTGTTTGCTTTTTTTAAAAAAAAAGGGGATTGAGAGAATAAAGTGGCTTACTCTAAAGTAATGTGCCTTCACTAATAGATTTTAAAATCCCAGGCAACTGCATTATGTCAAATTGTAATAATCAAATTCATAAATATGACACGTTTCATCTTGATTTCTTCCTCTGGGATTCACAGATTAGTTCTCAGATTTATTAGTCCTCCCTGGGGAGAATTTCTCATCAAATGTTCAGTCTTTTGGACTTTCAGGTTGTTTTGCTTTTCAGTGGAAGAGAATCACAAACAGGGGTCTGTATAGATGACTCTATCTAATCAATACCTCTCTAGTTTCAGACAAAATTTTATATGCATTTGGGCCATACTCATGCTGATATCCTTGGACTCACCCAATCCAGAACTGTATCTGTGGGTCCTTAGAAATACTGGACCTTAGGAGGGCACGTTCTGCATGGAGCACTGGGTGTTATGAACAAACAATGAATCATGGAACACTGCACCAAAAACTAATGATGTAATATATGGTGATTAACATAACAATAAAAAATATTCACAGTAATAAAAAAAAAAAAAGAAATACTGGACCTTTCCTTTCTCCCTGATTTCTACCCTTTGACCTCACAAATGCACCAAAAGTTTGTTGTGTTAACTTGTATCTCTGCTATAACAACATTGAAAATGTTACAGTTTGCTATCTGATTCAGATACTTATGTTACAATTAGAGTCTCTTTGTTGTCAATGATGACAAAAAAAAAAAAAATCAGTGCTATAGGATTTCAGAAGCCACAACTAAGAGAAGACAGCAATATAGTGTTTTTATAACTCCTCTATCTTTAAAAAAAAAAATGGGGTGGGGGAGGAGAGGAGACACTATCATGCTCAACTTCATTCTTTTGTAATGTAATAATAGTTGATGTTCAAGAAAAAAAATGACCTCTAAATGTTCTACATCATTAAAGATTGAATTCTGCTTTATTTTCTATGGCTGCCTTGTTAAGAGAGCATTTTGATACATTGTAATTTATACATTGGCCATGTATACATCGGTTAACTCTTTTCAGAATACCATGTTAATTAGGACATCTGTAACCATACACAATTCCTTTACTGTTTCAAGAGTCAGGCTATAATTTCAGATCTTGTCTTGCTTCTGTGTATATAATGGCAAAAGTCATGAATTTGAGGCTCAACTGACTAGGAGTCAAGCCATACCCCATTACTTACTGGCTCAGTGAGACTGGCAAGTCATCTGTTTGATCTCTAAGGCTCAGCTGTCACATCTGTAAAATGAAGAGGATGTTCCCCGTCTCGGGGGATTCATTGTAACAATCAAATAAAATAATTAAAGCATTCCACATCATGCCTTGGCGCATGACATAAATGCACAATAAATATTAGCCACTAGGAGGTTACTCATGCCTTTTCTTAAACGAAGATATAATACCTACCTCCCATACCTTGTCTGAGATTTTTTTAAAACTAGCTTAACATTACTAAGCATACATAACAATGGAACTTTCAAAAACATCACATTATGAATATTGTGACTTTTTTACCTCGGGATAAAATCAGTATTCACCATTCCCCCTCATGGTTTGGAAGAGATGCTATCACTCTTATTACCAATAGAAATCAAGGTTTATTGCCTCCCTACGGGGAAGGCAGGTTTTGGCTTCTGTGTTGAGAGCTCTCTTCTTGCAACAAAAATTTCTAACTTCTAATTATCCTTTTTCCCATTTGAATGCATAAAATTAGATCGAATAGAAAAAAAAAAAAAACTCCCTTTCCCTTGTCCAAGCTGTGAATTTAAAATACCTGTTTTTCTTCTGTGCCTCTGTCACTTTCACCTAAAGCTCCTAGAATAATTTTGACACTTTGTGACTAAATTTACACTAGACTCCACATGTTTCTCAGGTCTTTGGTTAGGGCAGATCATTGTCTTCTAATTCCATGCCAATTCTTCGGGGAACTCAGACTGACCCCTTTAAAAACAATCTCTGTGAGGCCTTTGGGAGACTGACAGCTGGGTAGCCAACTTATGAAATTGTCCAAACTGGTTTCCCTCTGAGTGGTGACTTACTGCAGAGACAGAAGTGTCCTTGTGAAATAATCCTTTGCTCAAATCGTCTGTTTGGCATGTCCTGCTTCTCCCCAAATACCATCTTCTTCCGATTTGAGGCTCATAAAGAGATGATGATCTCTTCAATTTCTTTCCTAAATCCTTTATGGAAGGTGACCCTCACAGGTTCAAGATGTGGTTTCTTCTGGAGACAGAGGATAATCGCCAACTGGGTCCAGAATAAAAGCAATGTGATGTCTCAGGCTGCCTTTTGCAAATTCCCAGTTGAAGGAAGACGGACTGTGATCTCTCCAGAGGCAAGATTCTTGAAGTCGTTTATTTCTTAGCTCTGGATCCAAAGCAGGAATCATGCCTGTTCCGGCTAAGGGGGACTGAAGCTGCCGTACCACAGTGTGCATTCAGCATCATTCCAGGAAACTTTAGGGCAGAATCTGAGGGGGAAAAGAAGTACACAACCGGAAGTTTGAGTGTGTTTCATGTAATGAGTGGAACCTCCCCACCCACATGTAGTCCCCCTCCAGGAAAGGCCATTTCCTCTTCCAGGAAACAAAGGTGTGGAGAACTTCTGAGGGGCAGCTGTGTTTATAAAACAATGAGACAATGTCTGATATAAAACAGAAATACCTTGTAGCTTGGGGAAGGAGGAGGCTAGCCGCACAGGACGCTGGCATCAAAAAGATCTACCACTATCCCTGACACCTAGCATGTAACAAGAACAGATACGGATTTTTTTTCTTTTAGGTGGGATTCAAGACAAATAAACAAACACCCACAAAAAGCAAAAACCTCTTCCTAGACATATGGTGAATATTGTTTTAAAAGATTCAGTCTTTAGACTAACGGGGTTCCAATTGTAAGACTACGTGGTTACAGAACAGTAGAGTGGCATGCGGCCCCAGAGACCAGTCGTCCAAAGGAAAGCCCAGCAGAAAACAGAGGAATTGGCTGCAGAATGGAGACAATATTCAACGGTGCTTGAGGGGGCTGCTTCACACGGACCCGAGCTTGAATCCTGGTTCTGGTACTTTATTCATCACATTGCTTGGTACACAGGTTCTCAGGACATGATCATCATTATTTGGAACTTCTTTAAAGCCACTGACTATAGACTCCATTAAAAGGACATATGGATCCCCCTTGAACTTCTATAGGTCCGTAACCTGTTTCTCGGATGGTCAATGAAAACCCCAGCAGGGGAACCAGTGGGTTCACTATCTTTTGGGCACTGCAGCCTTGGCAGTCGGCCATCTCTTCTTGATGTAGTAGGCTCCGTTTAAGGACGGCTGGAGAAGAACCAGGAGGAAGGCATTTTGAACTAGGAGGTCTCTCTTCTGCAGTCTAGAGAGAGAAGCTGGACTTCTCAGTGGGGCTAATTCTGCCCCAGCTCTGCCATCTTGTTCCCAGCCATACCTACCTTTTGCCACCAAATTTCGATAACAAGTATACAGCAAGTGCCTACTATGGGCCAGGCTCTCATGATGCCATGGTGAGCAGCACATCCGAGGTTCCCTCCATCCTCATACCTCCGGGCTAGAATTTCCAAGAGGTGGCAGCCTTTGTGCTGGTTGATTCTGCCTGAGGGTCAATTCAATGCTGTTAGATGTTAACAAGTGTAGGAGAGGGGCTAGTTTTCAGGGATTACATGTTTATCCTTAAAAGGTGTATGTGTTTGTTTTGCTAAATTCATATAGCTTAGGGGTAAGAGTCACCATATCTGGCTTCCCAGCACAGGCTTGCCACAAAGTGGCAGTGTGAATTGCTCAAGTCACCAAAACCTTCTGGGTCTACATTTTTCATCTCTAGACTGAAAGTTTGGAATTAGCTGTAGTAAAAGGACCTTTTCAGCTGACACTCTATACAGCCATGATCAGAAGCCTACTAAGCCAAGGTTTTGCTCTTTTATACCTTTTAAATCTTTCTCTCTCAAAAAAGAAATTATTTCGCAGACTTATCTGGTCTTAGCACATGATAGCCGCAAATGTACTTGAACCAAGTACATTTTAATCATGTGTGTCATAATTGAGAGAGAATAGCTCTGTAATAATATCGGTAACCAGACATACAGTTTTCTAACCTGAATGAAAAATTAACTCTACGGAGTATAGGAAAAACCACCCCGATTATCCTCATCACGATTACCAATTATCCTCATCATGATTACCATTAGCATCACCAACAACAAGGTGTACAAGTCTTCAAATGACAAATGCACTGTGAGGACATTACGTTGCAGTTTCAAGGGCTGTCAAATTTAAAGCAATGCAACTTTGGAAATTCTACATAAGACCCACAGTGTGCAAAAACGGAAAAAAATAAAATCGTAGGTAGGGTTCAACCTAGGAAAGATGATCCACCCAAATCTCCTCGCGTAGGTCACTTTAAAAGAAAACTTCAGAACAATGTTGAGCCCTTTCTAGCGTAAAAACAAGGCAAAACCGACGAAGTTCTTTTTACCGAACGCCCTTGATCCTTCCCTTTGGAAGGATCGTTTTCGATTTTCAGTTTGGTGAGGCGCAGAATCCCCGCGCGCTCGGCCCGCGGCTGGTGCGCGGCGCCCCTTCCGGCGACCTTCGGCCTCCCGGCGGCGGGGGCCGAGCGGCAGCCGGGCGGGCAGCGCCGGGGAGGAGCGCGAACGCGGTGGGAGGGGACGCGGCGCGGGGCGCGGGCTCCTGGGCGGGCGTCCGTGGAGCCCGCTCGGGCGCTCGGGCGGCGGGGTGACGAGCGCCCCCTGGCCGGCGCCGGGCCCCGCCAGTGCCCGCGCGGCCGCCGAGCAGCAGCGCGCTGGGACCCCGGCCGCCCCGCCTGCAGGTAGGTGCCTGGGCGCCGCGTCGCCGGCCAGGGGAGGGCAGGGGGGTCTGCGCGGGGCCGGGAGCGCGGCCCGGCGAAGAGGGGGGGAGGCCCGGCCGGCTCCCGCTTTGAGACGTTCCGGGGCGGGGGGCGCGGGCTGACTGCCAAGCCGCAGAGCGACTAGAGCGCAGCGAACTTCGGCCACTCGCTTCCCGTGGTTTCTTGCCTGCGGGTGGCGCGGGATGCTACGGCCCCTGGCCGTGTGGACGCCACCGGGGCTGGGGCTGGCGCTGGCGCTGGCGCCGGCGCCTTCTCTTCCTTCTCGCTTTTTCCCCCCTTACCTGCACTGATTGGGGTGGGAGGGAGGGAAGAAGGTGGAAAGTTTTATATCCTTGGCAAACATTTGAAGGAGAGGTGGTTGATGCAGATGGTGACCTGTCCACAGGAGAGAATAACTTGTTTTCTTGGAGTTTGCGAGAGCAGCAGACAAGGCTGCCAAGACTCACTTCTAAACAAACTCAAGTTTCTTTTCAAGGGCCTGGGGTTGGGTGAGGCGGCTCTGTGATAGATACAGGAAAAAAAAAAAAAAAGTCCTGTGCTCAGTCCTGTAACCTCAAGTGAGCCTGTTTGGGTATCAGCATTCAGGGCCACGTGTTAAGAAAGTAGAGTTAAATATCTATTTCATTGACTTTTTAAGAGCCCCAGTTATCAGTGTGAAAGGGACTGTTCACGCCAAAGGCTGGGGCACTCCCTGTAGTCATGAATGAAGAGAAGCCCAAAGGCTGGCCCTACTGGAGACTGATTCTTTCCGCCAGGAGCGTGCCATGGAGCTGCCTTGAACTTTGGGGTTGTCCTGCTCAAAGTGGCGCTAAGAAAAGGTGATGCAGTCATGGCACAAGCTGACGAGGCAGGGTGGTGACGTGGAGGGAGAATCGAGAACTCGCTGCTCTCCCCCGGCTGTCCGTGGTGAGGGTGCAGCGCCCCGGGAGGGTGTGGTCCTGCCAGTG